AGTGAGAATCACCCCCCCCGCCCTCCCCCCCTCATAGTTCTCCTTTAAATAAAATGTAACCCGTATTATGTTACTTATGTCAATGAGAGAGGTACAGGAACCTAACTCCCTAATCTCCCATTGACTGACATTATTTACTGGGATTCAGTTCACACCAGCTCCTAAATTACAACCATTCCTTGTTTAGAGAGAGGCTCGGAACCTAACTCCCTCACTTCCCATTGACTTACATTGTATATTTGGTTTCAATGTACAACAATCCCAGACCAGGTGCAATTCTGAATCAGCGCAAACGGAACCGTTGTAAACCGAGTGCCGACTGTCATTTATTTGGGGCTGGGCGGCTGGATGGAGTTCTGTGGACCTGACATATACATTATATATTCCCTCTGAATGACCTGGGATGAGCCTACGAATATACGAGACGTCGGGAAGATTGATGGCGTTCCCGCGATACAATGACGATGGAATTCGCACACTTACAAGTAGGAGTTCTTCGCGGCGCTCACGATACAGGAGACGCGCTCCGCATCCACATAATCGTAATCAAACTCCTCCGGGTCGGTTTTTGATCCGGATTCGGACAGGAGAAGACCCAGCCAGTGCCCCATGTCCTCCGAGGTCTTCGCCTGCGAAATGAACAATTAATTATCGTTAACCGCGGAGGCCGAAGAGGAGTCTGAACTCCCGGAATATCTCCATGAGGTGATACAATGTAACCAGTGACGTCATTATACAACCAGTGCGCCCACAGACGCCAGACGCAGGGAGGGAGAGATCCAAAAATGTGATCACTGATACAAGAAACTTTTACCAATGACTGTCACTTGTATCTCAGCGGACACAATGATTCCCAGACATGTGCGATTCGTTACGTTACAAATCGGAATTCGTACGGATTTTCCTGACATTCGTAAATTCGGAAGCATCCGAAATCCGAATTGCAGTTTCCGAATTATATCCGAAATACGAAATTCCGTTAACGAATTTCGGATGCGAATTTCTTTGAAACGGGAACTAATATTACCCCCGTGACTGAGGTTGGGAACAACATGAAAAGATTTTTTTTTTTATCCGAAATACGAAATTCGGATCCGGAATCCGTTAACGGAATTCGTATTTCGTTTGGTTGACCAATCAGAGGTTTTCTCTTCTGCTGCTGAGAGTCGCATTACAATACACAGGCAGGAAATACGAAATTCCGTTAACGTAATTTCGTTCCGTTACGAACATTCGTTATATTGAAGGTAAAAAGCAAAGTACATTTATATTGGAGTTGATGGTAGTTTTTTTTTTAATCCGAAATACGAAATTCGGATCCGGAATCCGTTAACGGAATTCGTATTTCGGATAAAAAAACAACAATTACCGCATCGACTCCAATATTAACAAAGGTATTTTTGCTTTTTAACTTCATCATAACGAATGTTCGTACAGTTACGAAAATGCGCCGAAACTAACGAAAATCCGTATTTCGTACGAATCCATGGTAGCTGCCTTTTGTTTGCAGCACGCTGCGACATCTTTTGAAAAAGCTAAAACCACCGTGGACCGAAGTCACTTCACGCTGCCGCCTATATTTACTGCACCCCCTCTATCCCCATAGTAAAACAATAAATACAAGTTAGGAATGCCCTCGTGTACTTCTACCGTTCCTCCAGCAGGGGGCAGTCACGTCACAGGCGGCGGGGCAGCAGCAGAATAAATGACATTATTACTACAAAGTATCCGCATACAATCTACCCAACACGTCACATACTATCCATTCATATCGGCGCCTGTGCGCGAGGATCTACACTCCTTAGATCACATACACAGGATAAAGTTAAACTGGACCGGAACCAATTACCCTAACAGCGTGTCTTTGGAGTGTGGGAGGAAACCCAGCCAAAGCACAGGGAGAGCAAGGAAACTCCATGCAGATAGTGTCCTGGCTGTGACCGCGATTGGAGTGCCGTACGGCAGGAGCGCTAACCGCTGAGACACAATAATAACGCATTCTCTGTAAATTTGCCGCCGTTGGGCACCGAACAACTGACCGCGGTTATTAATAAAGATTGATCCGTGTCCCTGCGATCATACATGACCAGACGCAGCGCCCCTCACCTCCAGCGTGGCCAGCTGCTCCCCGTTATGCAGGATGCGGAAGGAGTAGAGGTGGTCGGGGGAGGGCTGCGGAACGATGTCACACCCCAGCAGGGACACGGGATGGGTGGCGGCTTTGCTCCTGTTTCTGTCCTGATAGAAGTGGAGCTGACCGTCCCGGATGCAGCAATAGCGCGACTTCCATTGGCTGTTGATCAGAACGTTCAGGTAATCTGAAGGGAGCAGAAGAGGAAAATTAAAGGGGCGAGTCCGGGAAAGATAAGAACATGCGTCCATAACGTGAGCATTCCTCCGTGTCCTAGCCCAATGCCAGTCCACCGACTGACCTGCCAGAAATCCAGAGCGCTCCCAACTTCCTGCAGTGAGCTGACAACGCTGCCTCTGCTGCACTGAGATCCAAAAGCAGTGTTGTCAGCCAGCCCTGCTGGACTACAAAGCACCACCTATGTTATTGAGATAATAGTGGGAGGGGTTCTGTAGTCCAGCACTGGGAGAGCTGGGCAGGGCTGAAAACATTGGTGGCTGCGTTTCATGTCACCTCCCCACAGGAGATCTCCGCTCTGCCTCCGATACTTGTACTGACCCTCATCCATCGTCTACTCTACACCCCCTGCCGGCCCAAATATTCACTGACTCCGCCCATTCCCACATCACACACTGACCCCACCCATTCCCACATCACACACTGACCCCACCCATTCCCACATCACACACTGACCCCGCCCTTTCCCACATCACACACTGACCCCACCCATTACCACATCACACACTGACCCCACCCATTCCCACATCACACACTGACCCCACCCATTAACACAGCTCCTCCTTCATCAGGGACACAATGTAACAGAAGCAGGTTGTATACGGCGTATCGATTTCTGAATTGGAGGAAGTGAGATCCCGGGAAGGAAGTTCATTGTACACATTAAAGTCGTACGTTGTACTTGGGGGGGGGTCTCAGAGTCTGAGGGGTATCAGGACAAATTCCCTCCATACCGGACCGGGATCAGACAATTATCAGAGACGGATCAGCAATGGCGGCCCCCCAATAATCTGATACGACGAGTCTCCGCCTCTGACACTAATACATCATGATGTGACACAAAGGGAACCTCCAGCCAATCGGCGGAGTCCACGTCCCGGAGATACATTCTAGCCGGCGGCACTTACTGGACGTCTCCAGACTCTTGTCCGGACTCTCCATGGAGGACGACTTCTTCCGGCCCAGATTCATCAGGTTGCTGAGTTTGAGGCCGGAGGACCCTTTCTTCTTCACTATGAGAGAGGACGGGGATGGGGTGGGGGGGAGGGGTTATTGACACTTTGAGGTTATCAATATCTCTCCAATAATCACATCTACATTACATGGGGGCCGTACCGTCTACGCCCCCCTACAGCTCCCACCGTGCATTGGCCTTCTACACCAACTACAGGTCATGTGACACGGCGCTGCTTAAAGTGAACCTGTCCTTATTCCCTGGCTCTCTGCGCTTCTCTTCCCATGGAGGTGGCCCCTCATAGCCGGGCTCTGTCTGTCCTGTAGAGGGGCCCCCGGGGTTCCAGCGATAATCAGTACATACGTTATTACCCGGTATGAGGTCAGAGCCCCTCTTCACCACAAAAACCGAACTCAGCGACCAGAGAGATACTAGGATCGCCACGACTAACCCTCCGATCCTGCACAGTACCACTACCCTTGTCCTGTGTGCTGGGTGTCCTGTGTGCTGGGTGTCATTCTCGGTATCTGTTCTTATTCTGTATGTATGGACTCTGCACAGTACCACTTCCCTTGTACTGTGTGCTGGGTGTCATTCTCGGTATCTGTTCTTATTCTGTATGTATGGACTCTGCACAGTACCACTTCTCTTGCCCTGTATGCTGGGTGTCATTCTCAGTATCTGTTCTTATTCTGTATGTATGGACTCTGCACAGTACCACTTCTCTGTCCTGTATGCCGGGTGTCATTCTCGGTATCTGTTCTTATTCTGTATGTATGGACTCTGCACAGTACCACTTCCCTTGTCCTGTATGCAGGGCGTCATTCTCGGTATCTGTTCATATTCTGTATGTATGGACTCTGCACAGTACCACTTCTCTGTCCTGTATGCCGGGTGTCATTCTCAGTATCTGTTCTTATTCTGTATGTATGGACTCTGCACAGTACCACTTCCCTTGCCCTGTATGTCGGGTGTCATTCTCGGTATCTGTTCTTATTCTGTATGTATGGACTCTGCACAGTACCACTTCCCTTGTCCTGTATGTCGGGTGTCATTCTCGGTATCTGGGAACACCGGTGGCTGGGCCATGTCAATATGCCGGTCGGGTATACTAAGAGCTCAGTGTGTTCTGGTTGCACAGTACAGTATCATATAACCCGATGCTGCGGTCCCGCCCTCCCCCTCCCCCAGCAGTTGACAGGCTGACTCACCTTCCTTCACCTCGGTATTCTCGGGGTGCCCGTCGGTGCTGCTCCCACTTTCAGAGGCCGCTGAGTATCTGTCGGTGATTTCTCCCTGCGAGAGAACACGAGATGTCAATCACAATGGAACACGGCGGCACCGCGGCGCGCTCAGCGTGTGGTGGTGTGCCGCAATGCGTGTGCGTTTTCATGCGATGAGGCGTGTTGCGGTGTACATGGAACATGAACCATCCACATATGATGACAGGGATCGTACTGGATGATCAATGATATAAAAGAGCCGACGCGTTTCTTGGATCTCCCTTCATGGGGGGTTCTGTGTCATGTGACTTCAGCACAGGATGAAGTCCGGTCATCGCTGGAGTCACATGACACAGAACCCCCCATGAAGGGAGAAACGCGTCGGCTCTTTTATATCATTGAAGATCCCCCCCCAAAAATACCTCCATGTCCTCTCTCAACGCTCAGCGAGATCTCGGGGGCCGCGTCCGCCTGCAGACCGCCGATGTCCTGGATGACCTACAGAGAGCAAAGAGCCGTCATGAACCCGGCATGTGAACTTCCTGTCTATTGCGTCATGGGGGACACGTCAGCAACTCCATCAATACATCCCGACGTGTCACCATATACAGAGGCGGGATCACTGGGCAGAGAAGCTCCGCCTCCTATCATTTAAGGTGCCGTCCTAGACCTCCAATCGGTGACTTTGCCTAGGCTGAGATGATGTCATCAGTCTGCTGCAGGCAGGAGGAAGCATTTCTTCAGTCTCCCCTCCCCCAGTGATCAGTCTGCTGCAGGCAGGAGGAAGCATTTCTTCAGTCTCCCCTCCCCCAGTGATCAGTCTGCTGCAGGCAGGAGGAAGCATTTCTTCAGTCTCCCCTCCCCCAGTGATCAGTCTGCTGCAGGCAGGAGGAAGCATTTCTTCAGTCTCCCCTCCCCCAGTGATCAGTCTGCTGCAGGCAGGAGGAAGCATTTCTTCAGTCTCCCCTCCCCCAGTGATCAGTCTGCTGCAGGCAGGAGGAAGCATTTCTTCAGTCTCCCCTCCCCCAGTGATCAGTCTGCTGCAGGCAGGAGGAAGCATTTCTTCAGTCTCCCCTCCCCCAGTGATCAGTCTGCTGCAGGCAGGAGGAAGCATTTCTTCAGTCTCCCCTCCCCCAGTGATCAGTCTGCTGCAGGCAGGAGGAAGCATTTCCTCAGTCTCCCCTCCCCCCAGTGATCAGTCTGCAACATTGTAACTTTGTATCCAGTCACAAGGTGAGAGGCTGCAGCAGGGGCTGATCTGTGTCAGACATTGGTGAGCACAGCCAAGAACTGCACAGACATCGGGATTTCTGTGTCATCACTGAGCCGCCATCTCAGTGCAGGAAGTAGATGGTGACCCTGGATGATGGCGGAAGAAAGATGGCTCCGTCCTTCTGGAGAGGAAAGCGGATGACATTGTCAGGGGGGGTCATGTGATCTCTGTGGTGGGTAACAAATACCTGGATCACATCAGACATGTGGGGTGCGGCAGAGTTGCCCCTCCTCCGGCGCAGCGCTGACACTTTTGCCGCCGTTATAAGAAATGATGAAAGGCGACACTTCATTGATCTCGGCGTCTCTCACAGACATTGTTACATTGTGGCCACCCAGTGACATCACCGCCCCCGGTGACAAAACCACCCCTCCAGTGACATCACAGCCCTCCAGTGACATCACCGCCCTCCAGTGACATCACCGCCCCCCAGTGACATCACCACCCCCCAGCGACAACACCCCCCCCCGCA